CGTTCGGTATTAATGCTTATAACACAAGCAACGACAGCTCTTCATTACTTTTATTAAATACTGCCAATGGTAATGGTGTTTATTGTTTAAGTTTAGGTATTGGAGTTATTCAAGGTTCAAACAAACTAAATGTATCGGGTGGGAATAGTAATTTTGGTGGGACAGCATCGTTTCAAAGCACATCAACATTTAACGGTGATATTTATGTCAATAATTCCGGTAGAATATTCCAACGAGCAGACGCTAATAATTCATTAAATGTAATATCAACAGAAGAGATTAATTTTTCATTGCAATCAAACAGAACAACTGACCCGACAACTGCTACTATTGCTTTACAATTAAACGACACTAACGGAATTACATTAAACAGAGCAGTTACAAATAATCAGACATTTAATAGTATTGGTAATATTGTTGGTGAGGCAGATGTTATTAGTTGGGGGCGTTTTATGTTTCAAAACAGTAGCGAATTAAAGGAAGTTTTAGACACTCAATATAAATTATATATCAGAAATGGAGACACCGCAGGTGAAATGAATTTAACGATGGGTTTAGAAAGTAGCACACCGGAAATACAATTAACTGATGGTAAAGTTACATTAGTCGGACAATTGGAAATTACAAATACTGATGTGTCAGGACAGCAAAGAGTATTAATAAATAACCCAGATGATGATGGATTTATTAGATTAAGTAATAATAATTTGTCAAGATTAGATGCTACAAATACAGGCGTTGATGTATATGGTTTCTTTACTACAACGAATAACGCAGATATTGGAGGTAATTTAACGTGTGTAGCCTTAACTGAAACATCAGACGCTAAATTGAAAGAGAACATTAAGGAGGTAAATACAAAGGAATGTTATAAGGCAGTTAAATATATTAAGCCTAAAACATATAATTTTATTAATGATGAGACTAAAAAGAGCAATATAGGATTTATAGCAGACGATATAAAAGATGCTAAAATGCCTCCTGAATGGGACAACATAATATATTATAACAATGATGGTATGAAATTATTAGCATATAATAAAACAGCAGTCGTATTATGGGGTTGTGTTCAGCATCTTATCAGTGAGAAAGATGAGATATTAGAGACAGTCAAAACAATGAAAAAGGAAATGGCAACAATGAAAGGCGAAATAACGAAGTTGAAAAAGAAGGTTAAAGACGACGATTAATAATATTATGTTTAAGTAATAATATTAATCTTGTTGCAATGACTTTAGATAATCTTGGTGCTTCTTGCTTCTTTCGTGAGCTAATTTATGATGATGTGTGTATTTGCCACCACATAAACATTGAAATTTAGCCCAGCGATGGCTTTTGATGTGTTCTTTGTTGTCTTCTTTGTATTCAGTCCATTTCCTACCAGCAACTCTCTTATTAATACAATCATTACACTTTATATGTTGTCCTTCTATTTTCATAAGTTCTTCTTTTGAATTACAAGGTGTGTTTTCTATCAGTTCTATCTTACAATTCTCAACACCATATTCATCAAACATTTCAAAAGAACTTGTAAAAACGCGCTTCCATCCGTTTTTATAATTGTCATATGCATAGCGATGTCTCGCCATTCTCTGACTTAAACTTTCAGTAGTGCTTCCAATATAACATTTGTTATAGCCAACATCAACGATTTTATAAACTTTTCCATTATGATATTTATTCATATCCCTATATATCCTAATCTATCTTTTCTTTAAATAACTATTCATAACTTCTAAATAAATATAGAATGCCTACGATGGACGAAGCAATAGAAAAGAAATTAGACGAGCAACTACAAAAGATAAAGGGAGACTTAATAATTTTTAACACAATTCAAGAATTAACAGAGAAAATACAAAAGTTAGAGGATGAGATAGAAAAGTTAAAGAGCAAAAACAAATGTAGCAACAGTGGCAAGTGTATGCCGTGCAATTTATGTTCGTTCAGTCTGTTCTGATTAATAATATTATTTCAATAATATTAATAATTATCTGTTTCATTATGTTCAACGGGATTGTTGTTCTGTATTCTTTCCTTCAGTCCTTCATACCGTGATTGAGTATTTTGATTTTGGCTTTCTTCTTTATATCTTCTACTAGGAAGTGTTTTTATCAAATATTCAAACGGATAAAAAGGATTGAAGTTAATGACAATTTTTATGTCATCATTTTCTTCAACTCTACCGAGTTTAACACTAGTACAAGAATATAAATATAACATTCCACAACATGTTAATAGTGTATCCATTACAAATATATACTACTATATATTTATATATTAGTCTATTACCAGTTTAGCATCAAACCGCTTATAAAACATATCATTTACATCTCCTTTCATTAAATTAATAAACAAAAAACTATATGGTTCTTCTGTAGCTATATTATACACTTCTAATAATAACTTCTTAGCTTCTGCAAGGTTTTTAGTATCAGCAACGGTTGATTTTTTAATCAATACCGCGCTTAACTCTTCAACCATTGTCTCTATCTCTTTGTAGTTTCTTAACCTGAAAAAGAATAACTGGCGACTATTAACACGAATAATTGGTGATAAAGCATTAAATTTTTGTGTGCTTGTTATAACATTCATTGCGTTATGTCTCCCTCTCACATACAACTGATTTAGAAGAGGTGAGTTTCTTGAAAACGCTTTTGAATCAGCGAAGTCATCAACAATAATTAGTATTGAAAATAGTTTCTTGTGGTTGTTCTTCTTCTGATACTCTATTACTTTGTGCTGTTGTTTTATGACCTTCTCTAATTCTTCTGGTATGTATTCATCAAAGAGGCACTTCTCTTTTTCCAAATCAACCTTCAGCTCGTCTTGAATGTACTTTTTAACAGGTAACCAATTACTATCAACTGAGATTGAAGGAGACCAGATATATATCCTTTCAAAGACGTCTCTATAAATATCTAGTATCATTGACTGTAGTAATATTCCTTTTCCAGAACCGCTAGGACCTGTTATTATTTGTGAAAAAGGTAATCTAGGAGCTACTTCGTATTTAGACTGTTTGAAGTCGTATTCCTTGACACTGATAGGTTTAACTATGGGCGTAATCATTATTATAAATACATAGAGATTATTATATCGTTATTAATATATGAAGGGTTATATTGACGTGATAGATGAGCTGGAGAAGATAGAGGAAATAGTCGCCCCACCTAAATATAAACGATGTTGCTACAATTTGTTAGAGTTGATAAAATCTCTTCTTATGGTTATTAAAATAAAATCTAGATAATGTAAATGAGTGGCGACAAAGATGGAGGGATACAAGTTAATAAAGATGGTATTAATTGTTTATTTTGTAGGTGTAGAAGGAACACATATCATAAAGAAAGTACAACAACCACTGAAAATAACAAAGTAGTTGTTAATGTTGTTGAAGATAGGAGCAGTATTAAATTTGGTAAAGGTCGGAATGTATCACCTGATGATGGAATATTTAAAACAGAAGCCACGCCACAAATGGGAGGAGTTGAACTTTGTAGCACAGGGTGGAGTGAAAATAGGAAAATAACACCTGAAGAGTGCGAAGAACGACTTGATAAAATTGAAGAAGATGTTGAAAGGATTGATAAAGATGTTGAAAAGCTAAAAAACAATTTAAACATTATGGATTAATATTTAAAAGTTATTTTGTAGATAATATTGACAGATGTAAAGCCCCACTGGGCTTTAAGCTCTTGGGTTTCTTTGAAACCCAACAGATGTATAGAAGTCCCCCCAGACATTGAAACAGAAAACAAACACCTTGTTCGGAAAAAATCAGTGCCCATAATCGCCCAGGACATCTGTTTCACATTGGATGAACTCGTGAAAGGGGAAAGTAATGAGATACATCCAATAGCACCACATAAGCTGGTGCTTAATTAGTTTGAACTTTATTCATAACATTTTTTTTTATGTTATGAAAAAAGTTGTAATTCTACTCTTTATAAGTATTTTTAAACGCATTTTTAACCTAAAACTTTTAATATAAAAATTTTAATCTAAAACTTTTATATAGTATGTCAGATATAGATGATGATATTAAAGAAACAAAGGCAACACGATTTCAAAAGATATTAGATAAGCTAGAAGTTATTGAAAAAGCAGTGAATAAATTGAACGCTGATAAACCAAAACAAATAAACAAAACATTAGTTAAAGATAGCGAGATGTATAAGAATAAGAGAAACGTATATATAAACAAACTTAATACTGGAGAAATTAGATACCCAAAAAGAGAGACCTTAGAATATTATGAAATTAAATATAATGATGAACATAAGGTTTATAGCTGAATAATGTATTTTACAAATTCCTTATTTTACAAAATGACTTAAAGACTTGAGGACTTAAGATAGTAGAAAGGGATGACTGAAGATATGAAACGGTGTATTCAATGTAATAATACCTATTCGTCTGATATGTTCCATGTTAGGGTTCATATCTGCGACGGTTGCCGAGAACAAAACAAACTCAAAAGAGACGAAACCAAAAGGCAATGGAAATTGAATAATCCTGAGAAGGTAAAAGCATACCAGCAAAAGCATAGACAAGAGTATGCCGATGAAATAAAGGAAAGGAAAAATAAATACAGACAAAGCGAAGAAGGAAAAGCAAAGATAAAAGAATACCAACAAATCATTTACCATTGTGACATATGTGGTTATGACATCAAGAAATACAAGAAATCACAACACGAGAAATCTAAAAACCATCAAGAGCTTTTACAAAGAAACATGACACCTGAAAACATCACAGAGCCAAAGGGAATGGCAAAACTTTATGCGATAATGAACGGATAAACACTAATAGTATTTTACAAAATTATTTGTAAAATTCTATAAGGGCTCTTCCCCCAGACCTCGCAATGATGTATTTTACAAATTCCGTATTTTACAAAATGACTTAAAGACTTGAGGACTTAAGATAGTAGAGAGTAAATGTTCAGTCATGAAGAACAGGAGGAAATTATTAGTGAGTTCTTGAATGTTATTGAGATGAAAGCCATTATTAAGGACAAAGTGAGTAGGTGTGCTACATGTAAGTTCAATCAAAAGAATATGTCATTATATGAACTGAATATACCTGTCAATATTATCACAAAGATTTGTAAATACAGTTATGAGGAATGCGAAGTGTGTAAAACTTTAACAGAGTTTAAGGAGAATGTTTATGATTGTAGTATTGAAGATTTTGAAAATGTGGTTAAAGCAGTTGAAGATAAACATAAATACAACATAACAAATTACACAGAGAGGAAATTAGATTCACAAATATACTATTATGTTAAATTAAATCCATTTCCTAAATTTGAGAAAACGTTACAATGGTCCAAAAGTGTATTACCTGAATGCAAATTTTATAATATTGAATTCTACAATGACATTAAAATATTATCCGATACTGCATTTATTAGTGATGAAAAGGTAAAACAATTTTATAGCAGACAACGAAGAAGAATAATAAACGAATATGATAAAAATGTAGATGAAAAGAATAATACAAAGAGAAAATTTGTTAATCATCTTGAAAGACAACTGAGTAAAGTTGAAAGTGCATTTTTTGCAATTCTCAGACATATAGACAACAATGAAAAATTTAGCAAATTGAAAAACAATTGTATTCAAATGAAATTTTTAGATGGATTAATAGCAGAAGTACATTTTGAAGATGATTTTTCATTTGAAAGGTTTTTGGATAAAAGATTTCCTTATTTGCCTACAGTTCAATACAAGAAACAAAAAAAAGTGAGAGACGACACGGACTATCTAAATACTATAGATGATTGCTTGAAGTAATATATTAACAAAATACAATATTGTTAATATATTATTTCACTTAATACGCATCGTTTTAAGGGTAAAATTTCAGATAAGGCTCTTCCCCCAGACCTCATTAGAATTAGTTGAGGGTAGGCTTTGCTTAGGTGGCTTTGGTTTTAGGGCTTTTTGTTGAGGGTTTTGGCTGGTGGCTTTGGTTTGGATGGTTGTTAAGGGTTTTTGTTGAGGGTTTTGGCTGGTGGCTTTGGTTTGGATGGTTTTTAAGGCTTGGGAGGTAGGAAGGGCAAGGTCTGGGGCTACCGGCTTCTTGCTGAGGGGGGGGGGGGGGGTTCGTTTACAGGATTTTCGGTGGCACCCCTATTTCGAAATATTCATGTTGTTATGTTCTTTGTTGTTCTTGTTGGTTATAGTTACCGTATAAGGCACTGTACAACATACTTGTTCCAAAAGGAGGTTTAAAATTGTTCTCGTTGTTCTCCAATGTTCGTTAGTCCATACAAAACCGTTGTTTTCGTTAGTCCATACCAGACCGTTGTTCCCAAATTGTTGTTGTTGTTGTCGTCAGAACGGACCATAACGTCGTAAACCTAAAGCACTACACCTTAAGCCCTAAACCCTAAACCCTAAACTTCCCCAAGCCCTAAACTTCCCCAAACCCTGAACTTCCCTAAGCCCTAAACCCTTGACCCACTGGTAGCTAAGGACTGATGGCCTGGTCTCTTGCAGGGGCTTTGCTGGCCCCTTGTCTGTGTTTAGGGGTGTTATAAGGTTCAGGGCTTACAGTTTTAAGGACTCTTTGGGTTTAGGGTTTAGGGTTTAGGGTTCAGGGTTCAGGGTTCAGGTTCTAGGGCTTACAGGGCTTGCAAATAAGGTTTAGGGTAAGGGTCGAAGACCATGCGTGCAGCTGGAGGTTGCTGCAAGCTGAGGTAATGATGCTGGGCTTCTCTTTGCTGCAGATGTGGTTTTTGAACACCTTCCGCGAGTTTCAGAACGCGCTGCATGACAAGGACAAGGAGAAGCGCCCTGACTTCAGCATTCATGTGGGGGTTCAGGGCTTAGGGTGTAGGGTTTAGGGTTTAGGTTAAGTTGGTACCCCTACTTGCGGAAACCGCCATGTCAAGACATTCGGGATGGCGCACATCTTTCCAAGGCTTCGTGGGCAAGGCTTAGGGTTTAGGGTTTAGGGTTTAGGGTTTAGGGTGTAGGGTTTAGGGGTTAGGGTTTAGGGTTTAGGGTTTGGGTCTAGGGTTTAGGGTTTAGGGTTTAGGGTTTAGGGTTTAGGGTTTATCCCTCCCCATGCAGTACGTGCCTCCTTCGGGCCTAATGGTAAAAGGGCCCTATGACTCCCCGATTCAGTCCAACCTGAGTTTCAGGTCGCGGTCTAGGGCTTAGGACTTAGCATTTAGGCTTTAGGATTAGGGTTTAGGGGTTAAGGGGTTAAGGGGTTAAGGGTTTCCAGTGATGCCGCGCAAGGTTCTACGCGACCCTTTTCCTGATGTTCAAGGCCGGTGACGTTCTAAGTGAGCGAGCCAATTCCTTGCAGATAAGAAATCCTTACATGATGCAGGATCTTTCTATGAGTTGAGGTATATATTCCTGAATCCAGAACTATTTGGCTCTTTATGGGGACTTCTCATATAAGCCCGACAAACCTCCTAAGCCCCTTGAATCCTTTGTTTAAGCAAGCCTATACACCCATTAGGAGGTTCATGATTACTTATAAGCAGGTTTTGCAGTAGGCTAACTATGGTTATAGCCTTACCTAGATACCAAAAACCCTACTGAAAAGCACCCATGAACCTTCAAGTACAAGCCCCCCAAACCCTAAACCCTAAACCCTAAACCCTGAACCCTGAACCCTAAACCCTAAACCCTAAACCCTAAACCCCCCCCAAACCCCAGGTGGTGCTGAGCATCATGCCCCTCTGGGGTCTGCGAGAGCTTCTGCGCGGCACGCTGGCCCTGGAGTGGCGCCGCTACCTCACGGGGGCCCTCCTGATGCCTGGCTCACTTCGGCAAGATAGGGCCGGAAGAATTACTAACAGTGTTCCTTTGTGGTTCCTGTATATATATATACTATAATAACCCCAAAACCCCATTCCGATTATGAAGGCCCCTATATCAGGCTCTTGGGATATGTTACACTTTTCCCTTCTTGGGGCTTACGGGTGTTCATGTTCTGGAATGTTTTTCAGAGGGTTTTAAGGGCCACCCGAGTTTAGTTTCTAGGCCAATTGGTCTCGAGGGGCTTGCAGGGATTTAGGGTCAGTACTGGGAGTTATGGGGCACACCCTGGCACCTTGGGATGCTCCCCCTTATACTAAGAGTCATTAATAGGGATTGTAGTAGCCCCTGTTATCGTCCCTATTCAGGACTCTTGGTATAAGGGTGAAGATTTCAAGCGACACCTCAGTCCGGGTAGTCGGTACCCACCCGATAATCCTAAACGCAGTGCTACATACGAAGAACAAGACGCACTTCCGAGGGAGAAAGCCGGCCTTTACATCAAGTTCCTTCATAAAGGAACCTAAGCCCTGAACCCGAAACCCTGAACCCTAAACCCTAAACCGCAGGCCCAGAGTTGGAAAAGCCTTGAGACCGAGTTGAATGTAAGGTTTAACTGTAGGGCAGATGGCCTCCGAGGACCCGATACATCGGAGACTCGCGGATGTACTACCGCACCTGGGAGCAACCGTACTCTACCCGCGTGGGGGGGGGGGGGGGTTAGGGTGCATTGCATATCTCTCTCTTTTCCGCTCTGCCTCCTTGCCTCCCTGCCTCCCTCCCTGCCTCTTTCCCCGACCTCCCCGCCTGCCAGCCTTGCGCAAAGGACAATTTAATGCCCCAGCTTCCTGCCCGTTCGTTGTCTTCAGCCCCCCAAGCTCATGAGCCTATCAGGTCTGAAGCTCTTGGGCAAGGGCCTCGACAACCCAGACCAGCGCATTGCGCAAGATTGCGGCGAGTTCACAGACGCGCCTCTGGGCGGCATTCAGCGGCACAAACCAGCAACACAAGGCAAGAATACATGCTCTCTAAGCGCCTACGGCACATGTAAGCATAGACATCATGCTGAACACTGCTACAGGCAGCGTCGACTCTTGCCTGGGCCAAGCAAACTTTCAGGAAAAGATGGCTCGGAGGCCCCAGCAAGCTGAGGATTCTGCAGTTCTTGGCCCTGTTGGTGCAGAACATCATGCTGATCCTCTTGCAGTCCTCTCTCTTGTTCAACATCTCGCGTGACCTCTTCTACTTTGTCGTGGTCTACTCGGTGGTCTTGTGCCTGGCTTGCAAGAGTCACCCTGTTCTGTTCTCTGTGGAGTTCTCAATATCTACGATTCAGAGTAGGCCCTTTTTTCCTTTTTTTAGGGCTTAGGGCATAGGTTCCCTTAGAAGCAACTTGAGACCAAGATAGGGCACCCTTTTATTCCTAGGCTACTCTTGGGTCTCAATATTGGGTTCCCAAAAACAGGGGTCCCCCTCTGGTTCCTCTGATAAGAGGGAGGAGGAGGAGGAGGTCCCTCATTTTGGGGGACATGCGCACATCAGCTTCATGAAGCCCTAAAAACCCTTATAAGAAGGCCAATTCTTGCGGCCCCTCTCAGGAACGTGCTCACCTTCGTGGTCTTCGGCGGCCCGCTGACGCGCCTGAGGCGGCGCACGCTGGCGCAGGAGGCGACGTTTCGCTTCGGCCTCGTGCGGGCCGTTCGGATTGCACGTCGTGGCAGGTGACTCCCATAAACTTCAACCCTGAAGCATCCTCAAGTCCTCATAATGTAGGGGTCGGAATGAGTATACTAATTAACAATATCCCCTTATGGTCCCTTTATCACTGTACTATAGTGACCCCCAAAAGCCGATTCTAATTCTTCAGGCTTCTATATTACAAACTCCAAACAGATTTTGAGGTCAGAGAGCACGCAGAGTCCATCGCCTTCTACAGCGGCGCCGGATTCGAGCGCTGGCGCTGTCAGGAGCTCTTCACCAGCTTAATGCACACCCTCTACAGCCACCTGGCACTGGGACTCTTAGGGTTTAGGGTTTAGGGTTCCAAGCCGTACAAGAGTTGGTATATAGGTTCTAACGCTGCAGGAATAGGTAAGCAGCTGTGGAGTCAGGTGTACAGACTTCATGCCTCCCACCCCCCCACCCTTCCCCCCACACGCGTGGCAATGGCAAGTGGAGTTGTTCAAAATTGGTGTTTTGTTTTTTGTGGGGGTTTTCTTTACATTGAATGTCTTCTTTGCCGTAGGGCCGTAGGGCCACTTCCAATTGGGGCATTCCGAAGAAAGAACCTGCCGTAGATCAACCCCCCCCCCCAAACCCCCCCAAAAAACCCAATAAATCCTGAACCCTAAACTCACAACCCTAAACCCTAAACCCTAAACCCTGTAAGTCCAGCAAACAAAGTCCCTTTCAGGAATGCTGGGCGTTACAGTCAGCTTCTCCGTCATCTTGGCCGCCGCCAACTACGTGGTGCGCGTGGCGCCTTTCGCTGTCTTGGCAGGCCCGCAGGAGGGCAGGCGGTACTCCCCCCCCTCCCAAGGGTTTAGGGTTTCAGGGTTTCAGGGTTTAGGGTTTCGGGTTTAGGGTTTAGGGTTTAGAGTTTAGGGTTTAGGGTTTAGGAGGCTTAGGGCAAGGGTTTTCGGAGTTCAGGAGTTAGGGATCAGGCTTAGGGATGTCCTCCGAAAATCCTCCAGTCCAGGCAAGTACTTCGCTGGAGACATAGACTTCGGAGCCATGATGGAGGCCTCAGTAGCTGAATGAGTGCACTTTAGGGTTTCGGGATTAGGGATTAGGGTTTAGGGTTTAGGGTTTAGGCACTTTTTGGGATACTAGAATCCCCTATAGAACTGAAAGTGTGCGCTTTTTTGGGAGAGGCCTTTTCGATTCTCTCCGGATTGGAGACGGCCTTCACAACCCTTGTGTCTCAGATGAGCCCGGCGCTCAGACTGACCTTTGCGATTGGGCAGTTGATCTAAATGTTGATGCTTTTTAAGGGGGGTTCTCAGAAGACAGGGAATAAGACTTTAGAGAGAGACCAGAAAGGACAATACTTTAGATTTCAAACCCCAATTTCGAGTCTTGGCCATTTAAGACCCATGCAGAAGCGGCAGGGCCATCTGCTGTGGTGTGATCTAACTTGAAATTTCTATTCTGCGTGAATGATCATGATTGCCTGATTTCGGTTGCTCGTGTGCTTGTTTGCCTTTACGCGTCTTTGCTCGTTTGCTATTGTCTTACTTGGTGCCGCTGTCCTCGGTTTCGAGCAAGCATGCGGTGACAGCAAGGTGCGATCACTGACATGGGAGCGCAGGCAATACGCATTCAACAGATCTGGGATTTGGTGTCCGAGCGAAGTGAAGAGTTGGCGGACAATCCTGCCATAACGCTGGAGCGGGATGCTGGCAACAACGGCCAGGACATGGTTTTTGGCAGCTAGAAACCCTGAAACTCACAAGAAGTTTTAAACACTTCCCAGACCTAAAGAGGACTCGCATGTTCCAAGGAATATGACATGATTTACAGAACATTCCTCAGTTGCAGGGGTTTTGGTTTTGTTACAAAGAGTTCTATGTGCCCATACACCCTAAACCCTGAACCCTAAACCCTAAACCTTAAACCCCTCAGGAGCCACCGGTACTTCTCCAGATGGAGGAGGTGACTCTCCAGACGCCATCAGGCCATGCAGTGTTGGTGGAGCGCCTGTCGTTCCAGCTCAAGCAAGGCCCAGCGTGGTCAACTGAGAAGGTAGCTAACTTGGGCGGTTTTCCCAAAATCAGGGTACCCTATCTAGGACCCAGAGTCGGCCCGTCTTCCGGTTTTTAGGGTTTGGGTTCCTTCATAAGCCCCTTTAAACCAAAATTTCAGAAGATTCATTGAAGGTGGCTCAGGGTTTTGGGCTGGCTCTTTGCCGTAGTACCACCACAGTGGCCCGACGACACCTTGACATTCACCGCCCTTGCCAATCCGTGGGTTGAGGGTTTAGGGTTTAGGGTTTAGGGCTTACGGCTTAGGGCTTAGGGCTTAGGGTTTAGGGTTTCGGGTTTGAGGTGAGTCGCTGCTGTTGTCTGGCCCCAGCGGCGTTGGCAAGAGCTCGCTGCTGCGGTGCATCGCAGGACTCTGGGGGCGAGGTGCTCACTTTCCCGCCCTGGTTCTTAGTAGGGAATGAGGGAGCTAGGGCCCTATGTACTCCCTTTAAAGGGTATAGGGCCCTAATTCCCTCATTCCCTACTAAGAACCAGCGAGTTGCTTTGGGTGTGCTACTTGGAGGCTCATGGGTACTTATAAGAGGGGTTTTTAGGGGAGGGCCTATTTTTTGGGGTCTTTTTTTTTTTGGGGCCTTTTTTTTTTTTTGGTCGATTTTCTTGGTTTTTCCTAAGAAAACCACCATTCCCTCCACATTTTTAAAGGATTTGATGCATTTTCGTGGTTTTTCGTACGAAAAACAGTAATTTCTCTGTGGTTTCATAGGAAAGCGTTATTTCTGGTAGGTTTTAGAAGGAAAGAAGGAAAGAAAGGAAGGAAGCAAGGATGAAAGAAAGGAAGAAAACACGGAAGGAAGGAAGGAAGGAAGGAAGAAAGGAGGGAAGGAAGAAAGGAAGGAAGCAAGGAAGGAAGAAAGGAAGGAAGAAAGGAAGGAAGCAAGGAAGGAAGAAAGGAAGCGTGCTTCGAAGCCCAAGAAACTAGTTGAAAAACATCGTGTGAGCATTGTGTTTGCAAATGGGGGGGGCTGCGCCCCCCCCAACCCCCCGCTTTTTTTCAGCCGATGCCCAAGAAACTGGTTGAAACGCATCATGTGAGCAGGGTGTTTGCAGAACCCCGCTTCTTTCAAGCTGTACCAAGCGTGCTTCAAAGCCCAAGAAACAAGTTGAAAAGCATCGTGTGAGCATTGTGTTTGCAAATGGGGGGGGCTGCGCCCCCCCCAACCCCCCCGCTTTTTCTTTTTTTTTAAGCCGTGCAGAGCGCGCTTCAAAGCCCAAGAAACTTGTTGACACCCATCATGTGAGCAGGGTGGTTGCAAATGGGGGGCGCAGACCCCCCAAGCTTCTTTGAAGCCGTTCAAAGCCCAAGAAACTAGTTGAAAAAACATCGTGTGAGCATTGTGTTTGCAAATGGGGGGGGCTGCGCCCCCCCCAACCCCCCCGCTTTTTTTTTAAGCCGTGCAGAGCGTGCTTCAAAGCCCAAGAAACTTGTTGACACCCATCATGTGAGCATGGTGTTTGCAAATGGGGGGGGGGCTGCGCCCCCCCCCAACCCCCCACCGCTTCTTTTAAGCCGTACCAAGCGTGCTTCAAAGCCCAAGAAACTAGTTGAAAAACATCGTGTGAGCATTGTGCTTGCAAATGGGGGGGCTGCGCCCCCCCCAACCCCCCCCGCTTTTTTTAAGCCGTGCAGAGCGCGCTTCAAAGCCCAAGAAACTTGTTGACACCCATCATGTGAGCAGGGTGTTTGCAAATGGGGGGCGCAGACCCCCCAAGCTTCTTTTAAGCCGTTCAAAGCCCAAGAAACTAGTTGAAAAACATCGTGTGAGCATTGTGTTTGCAAATGGGGGGGGCTGCGAGCCGAAGCCCAAGAAACTAGTTGAAACCCATCATGTGAGCAGGGTTTTTGCAGATGGGGGGCACAGCCCCCCCAACCCCCCCCCCCCGCTTTTTTTAAGCCGTACCAAGCGTGCTTCAAAGCCCAAGAAACTAGTTGAAAAGCATCGTGTGAGCATTGTGTTTGCAAATGGGGGGGGGCTGCGCCCCCCCCAACCCCCCCGCTTTTTTTAAGCCGTGCAAGCGCGCTTCAAAGCCCAAGAAACTTGTTGCATGTTTGTTTGCAAATGGGGGGCGCGACCCCCCAACCCCCCTGCTTTTTTTAAGCCGTGCAGAGCGTGCTTCAAAGCCCAAGAAACTTGTTGACACCCATCATGTGAGCAGGGTGTTTGCAAATGGGGGGGGGGCGTCCCCCCCCAACCCCCCCCCGCTTCTTTTAAGCCGTACCAAGCGTGCTTCAAAGCCCGAGAAACTAGTTGAAAAAAAGTATGAATCCGATGAAAATATAGAGGGAATGATAGAAACCAAGAAAACGAACCAAATAGGGTTTTCCCTAGGACAAACTAAGGAAAAGCAACGTACGCTTTGACGTTTGACGAAATCCGTCCAAAATGTAATCAGAAGAGGGTTTCCTTAGGAAAAACCAACGAAAACCTCGTTTTTTTTCAAACCGTGCAGAGCGTGCTTCAAAGCCCAAGAAACTTGTTGACACCCGTCATGTGAGCAGGGTGTTTGCAAATGGGGGAGCGGGGCTGTGTTTTCCCCCAACCCCCCCCGCTTCTTTTAAGTCGTACCAAGCTTGCTTCAAAGCCCAAGAAACTAGTTGAAAAGCATCGTGTGAGACCCCCCCCAACCCCCCCGCTCTTTTTTTTTGGAAGCCGCGCAGAGCGTGCTTCAAAGCCCAAGAGGTGTTTGCAAGTGGGGGGGCTGCGCCCCCCCCCCCAACCCCCCCCGCTCTTTTAAGCCGTACCAAGCGTGCTTCAAAGCCCAAGAAACGAAGGAAATGACAGGATATCTGTCCAAAATGTAAGGAAAATAGGGTTTTCCCCCTAGGAAAAACCAAGGAAAACCTAAGGGAAATTACAGGAAATCCGTCCAAAATGTTAAAAAAAAACATAGGTTTTTCCCTATGAAAAACCAACGAAAACCTAAGGGAAATGACAGAAAATCCGTCCAAAATGTAAGGAAAGTAGGTTTTCCTAGAGAAAACCAAGAAAATCGACCAAGAAAAAAAAAAGAAAGGCCCAAAAAAAAAAAATAAAAGACCCCAAAAAAAAACTCCACCGTTTTTAGGGGGGAAACATGGTTATCACCTTAGTTAGGGTACTTATAACCTTACTTAGAAGCACCCATGAAGCTTCAAGAAAGTCAGCTGCCCAAAGTGCCCACGAATTACGCCCTTGACGTACGAACATTCCTTAAAGCATCGTCAGAATCTATATCATAAGGTGTTTTTTTTGCTCGCAGAGCATGGGATTTCCCTAGGTAGCTTCACACCTCAGCAGTCTCCTTCGAACGATCCCCTGGTGCAGGCACTGGAAGCATCCGGTGCTGCCCCCAGAGGCAGACGTTCTTTCTGCCTCAAGAGACTAGGCAGGACCTTGCTTTCTTTGTGTTCTTTCCTGGTTGGTTCTTACGAGGTGCGGTTCCTGCCCTAAAACCTGCAACCATAAACCTTACACCCTCAGGGCCTTAAACCCGATGTTTTTGCAAACCCTCGAACCTTACGCTACCCTAAAGGCCTTAAATCTTATTTTTTTCGTATCACTTAATGGCCAACCTAGGAGACGTACCTTTGCCTGGGATCGCTGCGCGAGAACGCCATCTACCCGCAGGCGGGGCCCTTCTTGGGGTGCGAGATTCGGCATCCTCAGGATACTTGCAGGTGCATGGGTACTTCTAAGTCGCGTTACAAGCAGGATAACTATGGTTATATCCTTACTTAGGGTATAGGAGCCTGAAAAAGTAAACTAAACATTTAAGCTCCCTATAGTATACCCCTTGTGGAAGAGCATACTACAGGAACCGATAAGAAAAGAAAGTCATTATGACCTGATGATCCTGTTCTAGATTTGCAACATAAACTGCATCTCTATTTGTAACCCCATGGCCCGCTATATTAACATCTCAAAGGCCTACTTCAATATTAGAACTTCGACCCGCAACCTCTTCACCCCACAACCTCTGGACGGCGTTCTCGTCTTTTTTTGGGTGCGGGTGGTGGGGAGGCGTCTCGCAAGTTTGGCCGGTGCATGTTGCGGCATGGGAGGGTGCGCAGCGACTGTGGGTGAGTGGGTATGATGTTTATGCTGGTTTTGAGTTGATGGCTTAAGGGTTGCTGAACAACACATGTCGTTGTATTCGTTCAGATGTATCTATATTTTGGTTTACTTATAAGTATATTGGATGCATGCTGTTGCTTCTGGTTGTGTCGCTGTCTGTATGTTTCTTTATGCCTGTATACTTAGACATGTATGTATGCATGTGTGCATGTATGTGTCTAGTGTATTCGTTTATTTGTATACGCATCTTTTCAAGATATTCACATGCAGACACACCCGCACACATATGTGCATAACATATATATATATATGTATATGTATATATATATATATATATATGTAAGAGGGACCTTTAGGTACTATGTGATTACTTTCCTTTCTTGGAGAAGGAGGTTAAATAGTTTAAATAGTTTAGATAGTTTAGATAGTTTAGATAGTTCAGGAAGCCCCTGAACTATCTAAACTATCTAACCTCGATTTTGGGAGAAAAGGAGGTTAGATAGTTTAGATAGTTTAGATAGTTTAAATAGTTTAGACGAGCCCCTAAACTATCTAAACTATCTAACCTCGATTTTGGGAGAAACAGAGGTTAGATAGTTTAGATAGTTTAGATAGTTTAGATAGTTTAGAAAGTTTCAAACCTCCTGGGGGCCTCCCCGGAAAGAGGTTAGATAGTTTAGATAGTTTAGATAGTTCAGGAAGCCCCTGAACTATCTAAACTA